ATATATATTACTAGTTCTGTCTTTGTTAGACTATGCATGACACAGAAAATGGTAAATGCTAGAGCGAAACATATATTATAAAATTATATAAAAAATATATTCCTGCTGCATAATATAATATTTTGGAGAGTACCCAATATATAAATATATATATTTATATATATATAATATTATATACTCAAGAACATAATCAACGTAATCAGCGATGTTTACGCTTAGGGGAAAGCGTGTGTATGCGTTGTGATACTCTCCAAAATGGCAGAAGACAGTAACTTGGGGGAGAAGAATTGTTAAATTAATTGTTATTCTTCTTTTCTTTGCGCACAAAAAGTATTCTCGTAGCTTCGCAAAATTGAAGTTGAGCCACTGATGTCACATGGACTGTTTTACAGTTGAGTTTCTGTCTATGGGAGGGTCAGAGAGCTCTCGGATTTCATCAGAAATATCTTAATTTGTGTTCCGAAGATGAACGAAGGTCTTACGGGTTTGGAACGACATGAGGGTGAGTAATTAATGACAGAATTTTCATTTTGGGGTGAACTAACCCTTTAAATGTGTTAAATTCACATAAATGATGTTTTCTCGTAGTGAGTTCCAATCTGTTGTCCTCCCTGTTCCCAAAGAGAAGAACAAACCCCTGGCTCTCTGACTAACAGTGGCTCTGAGGGGCCGGTGGCGCCAGCGCTTCGTCTGCTGAGAGCGTGAGGGTGCGGGTGACGGCTGCTATCACACTCACACACCTCGCCGTGTCCCTGAAGGACGTGCTAATGGATGGGCCCCACTTCAGTCGGGTTTGGACGGGGCCCCGGACCCCAGACGCACTGATACCAACCACCGCTTCCTTCCTCGTGTGGCACAACGTGCTCGAGATTGGGACTGTTTACAGCAGCGTGGCTTCGAGTTTATGACAGAAAATAAGTAGTGATACTTCAGTGGAAAATAATTTCATTATTTTTTATATTGACAAGAGAAAATATTGCTATTTAATCACTAGTATTTCATCATGGTCAACATACACAAAATAATAATGGTTTTAAAATCTACATTTAATCAGTATTTTTCCCCCCAGTTAAAAAACAAGCTTTGTTATTTATTATTTAGGTTATTAAGTTTTTATTGACAGAAAAAATAAACAGATAAAAAATCATCATTATTTAATCAGTATTATTTCATCATGGTCAGCATGCACAAAATATCATCATGCTTTTAAAATCAACATTTAATCACTATTTTTATTTCTTGTTTTCCAGTATAAAATGTTTTGTTATATTATTGTATCAGTTTTGGTTGACAGTAAAAGTTTAAATCAGTATTTTTTAAATCTAGTTTTCCTTAAAAAATAAATTTAAAAAAAACACTACCTAAACATCCTTATAACAAGATCAATTTACTTCAAAAGTAAGTTTTATTTTTATTTTTATAATCACAAAAAAAGAGAAATTAGTCAAGAAATATTCTCTGAAAACCATTTTTTACTGTCTTATGCAAACTTGCTTCAAGATGCACCTTGTTTTGAGGATGTTTAAGAGGGAAACGAGGTATCTCAGCCAAATATTGTTCTATCCTAACAAACCATACATCAATGGAAAGCTTGTTTATTCAGCTTTCATATGATGTATAAATCTCAATTTTGAAAAATTGACACTTAAGACTGGTTTTGTGCTCCAGGGTCACAAATGTGGTATGGCTCTCCATCAGTGATCTGCTGTTGTCATTGAGTTCCAGCTCAGAGTCACTCGGAGAATTTGTCAAAGAAGCCCCTCTCAGCACACTGGCAGCTGGGACCGCATTGCCGGGACACAAAGCATTTCGACATGCTCTATTTTGAGCGCTAGAGAGTCCCTCTGTCCTGTCAGGGTCCCGAGAATAGGAGCCCCGGGGCCGGGGCCGATGGACAGGCTCTGGGAATCTCTGTTAGGAGCCGTGTGTGTAAACCAATCTGTCGGTTCTGTTTGAATAACTGTTATGCTGTTATGAGCCAAGATGGACTCAAGGTTACTTCCTTTGGGAGTCTGATCTCTGGACGCTGCTGCGGGATCAGATGTCGCTCCGATCGGCCGGATTGACACGCGCAAGATTAAACGTCTCACTATAACGCAACACAGTAACTAAGTACAAAGACACAAAGAGAGCTCGGATGACGAGATGTCAACGCTTTATTGTATAAAGATGATGCTGATATATTTAGGAAAAGTAATATAGACGAGCGGGGAGAGAGTTTGGTTGGCATCAAACCGATGCCAGGAGAAAAAGCACACAACTGGAGTTTTGTATTTGATCTGGCAATCATCATTGATTAGTCATTTCAATGATTTCAGGACAGACTGAAAATATCAGGTCTAGACAGCATCTGGAAACTTTTTTTTTTTTTTTTTTTTGCATTTTCTATGCTGATTTCAGGATTTAAATATAAATATAATATAATATAATATTGAGTTCTTTGTCTTTGGGATGTGAATATAATGTTATAATGAATTTGAAAATACTACAGTGACATAAAAAGTGCATATATGTTATATTAGTATATTATATAAATGTGTTAATTTATCATTACATTTAAAAGTATTTCGTTATTTTAATTAAAATTAATTAATGACATAATATATAATATATTTTTATATTTGCTTTTCGAATATGGGCATAATGTTTTGAATAATGCAAAATGTGTGTATATAATTCCTATATTTTTTTTTATATATATTTCTATATATTCCTAAATTTATCTTATTTTAAATTTATTTTATTTTATTTATTTTATGCAGTGCAATGCAATGCAATGCAATGTAATGCAATGTCATCCAGTGCTACCAGAGCAAAATCACTGTTTTATAAACTTTTTGGGAATATTTTGTTTTTAGACAAATGCTCCCGAGTGTTTAGGAGGTCTGGCCCTTCTCTTACAGTTTGATCAGTTATTTGGTCCAGTGCCACAGGTGGAGTGACAGAGACTGAGTCTAGCCCTCCAACAACAGGAGAGGAGGTGAAACGAGGCGAGCGCTTCTGTTTGAAACGCCGTCAGCCTTCAACTCAGGTTTCCATCCAGGTTCACAAGGTGACCAGAACTGCACGCTAACAATGGCTAAAATAAGACCACTGGATTAATCCACTTAATTGATCCCCGAGGGAAATAAACGAACAGAGGAAACAAACACACTGACGTGAAGAACAGTGGCTTCAGATACAGAGAGCCTGTGCTGTATGACCTACATATGGAGATATTAATCATATTGATAATAATAAAACAACATCACCTCTTTTAGGGCAAAACCACACATGCTTCTCTTGAACCTTACAGTATATATGCCTTGTTTTTTATTTAGGCTTATTTGCTTTAGGCATTAGCATTATATTACTTCAAGTGATATTCTCTTTAGTGTGCACTAAAAGAAAGTTATTTACTCTATTTACTTTCATATGTATGTACCTGGTTTTAATAATAGATATTAGATAGATGATAGATAGATAGATAGATTTTATCAGTATAATTCATCTACATATCTATTTTTTAGATAGACATATAAATAAAGATTTTTAGTTAGATTTTTTGTTTATTTAATCAGTACTTGGTATTTTCAGTAAATCAATTATCAGTATCATTTCTTTATGGTTTTAAAATCAACATTTAATCAATATTTTTTGTCTTGTTTTCATAAATAAATAAATAAATGGGGGGTTATCGGTATTTACTCAACATTATCGGTTAATTATCGGTATTTAATAAGTATTATGGTTTGAAAATCAGTATTTTTTGTCTCATTTTTCAGTGGAAAGAAAATCTATCTATCTATCTATTTATCTATCTATCTATCTATCTATCTATCTATCATCTATCTATCTATCTATCTATTTATCTATCTATCTATCTACCTAATATCTATCTATTTATCTATCTATCATCTAGCTATCTAATATCTATCTAATATCTATCTATCTATCTAATATCTATCTATCTAATATCTATCTATCTATCTATCTATCAGAAATTAAGTAATAGAAAAAATTGGGTTTTATTGGTATTGTTTTTTATTGGTATTTACTCAGTATTATTGGTAAATTAGAGTGTTTAATCAGTATTATTTCATCATGGTTTCATAATCAACATTTAATTAGTATTTCTTGTCTAATTTTCCAGTAAAACCACTTTACCACAAATTAAATAAATGAATCAATTTAGTTTTTTTTAAATAAGCATTTACTCAGTATTTTTGGTAAATTATCAGTATTTTTTCATCAACATAAAATCAGCATTTCTTCTCTCCAAACTGTTTCTCAAGCGCGTTCTCTCATCACCACTGCTACTACGAGAATATAATGTATCACAACACTACGAAGACCGAGGCGTGTCCCGAGAGTCACATAGAATAGAGATTAGCACGGCTGTCTGTCTGAACCAAAGAAATAAAAGCAACCTATCTGTACCATATTGAATTGCATTGCATCATATTTTTTCCCATTGCATCGTATTGCATTGAAATGCATTGTGTTGAATCGAATAAAAATCTCACCGCGTCGTAATAGGGCTGATTCGCATCACATCGGTAGCTGTTTCATAATTATCTTTAATGTATCGTATCATTGGCTGTGCATCGAGAAACATATCGCATCGGCCTCAGTTATGGAGATGCACATCCCGAGTAAAAACACAATCAGAAATGAAGGAATAAATCTGGTGCAGTAAAATTTACATTTTTGTGTTTGTTTTTTGATGACTAAGAAATCTGACCATTCAAAAAGCAATGAAGCTGTTAGTCTGAAGCCAGATTTGGTTGTTTATTACTGAGTTATTCTGAGTGAACATTTTATTTCATGTGAGTGACCTCTCAGTCAGATCCATTAAGGTCAAAATACAAGCTAATCGCAGTTTATTAATAGACTCGTCCACTAACAGCCTATAATTACTACGACACATGAGACGATGTTTTAATCGAGATGTTTGGAGTTCCTAGAAAATCAGTGAGTGATAAAGCTGGTGGTCAGTCGGCGTGAGCGGCCGCTGTGATGAAGGTCAGTGATTACTTGTTGATGTGCTCTCCATAAATATTTATATACCACCATTAGCTGACAGCAGAGCACATTATATCACACTTACATTAGTGCTGTATTTATAACCACTAGTTTATATAATAACACTTGTCTGCGAAGCAGTGTTATTCTAGTCTCATTAAGATTTTTAATTAACATTTTAAATAATATTTTGAATTACTTTTTCTTTTCTGCTTTCATTTCCATTTTTAGTTACAGTTTTAGGAATTTTATTGTGTGTATTTATTTATTTATTAAAGTTTTAGTTAGCTATAATAGCCTTGCAGTACCTCAGTTGCTTTTTTAAAACAGATTTAGTATCACAAAACTTTATATTACAGTTTTTTATGGAATTTTTTGTTCATGCAGTTTTACAGATGTTGTAAGCATTGGGAAATTTGATTCATTTTAGTGAATCAGTTCGTTCAGATGATTCTGTAGATGATCCAATTCCAAAAATGAATCAATATTTCAGATTCCCTGCACAGAATTTAACATTGCCTTTGTTAAACAGCAGCATTTAGCTAAAATCTTCATCACAATGTTTTTAAATATGGTTTTGTTGGTTGTGTTTAGTATAAACGTATTTGTGCAAATGCTGTTTCAGACATTATCCCCTTAAAATATAAATAAACTGTTTTTTTTAATTAGTTGGACATATAAGTAACTAACCATCTAACAAGAATATGTTCTAAAATGTTTTGCTAACATTATGAAAATGTTATTTCTAAATGTTCTCCAGTTTTTATTTTATTTTTATTTTTTTCGTGATTATGTGAATGTTAGAGAAAACATTGTGGGAAAGTTCAATTTTAACATTTTGAAAACATAATGGGAATGTTACTTTTGAAGTAGTTACATTTAAAAAAAAAAAATGCAAAAAACAAACAAACTGTTGTTTTGGAATGTTTCAGAAAAACATGTATGAATGATGTATCCACTGCAAAAAAAATATTTTCTTAGTATTTTTGTCTTGTTTTCTAGTATAAATGTCTAAACATTCTTGAATCAAGATCCATTTACAAGTAAAATGACTTAAGATATTAAGTCTTGTTTTTTGAAAAAAAAAAAAAAAAATCTAAATTTTGTAAGCCTTTGCTTAAAACAAGCAAAAATATCTGCTAATGAGGTAAGAAAAATAATCTTAATTCAAAGGCTAAACAAGATTATTTGTCTTGCCCCATTGGCAGATATTTTTGCTTGTTTTAAGCAAAAACTAACATAATTTTGATAATTTTTTCAGAAAATAAGACATAAAATCTTAAGTCATTTTACTTGTAAAGTAAATTCATCTTGATTCAAGAATTCTTAGTATTTTTGTCTTGTTTTCTAGCATAAATATCTACGTAAGAAAACCATTTTTTGCAGTGTAAATAACATTTTGATAACGTTATTAATGGGAATGTTACTTTTAGTGCTGTCAAACGATTAATCGCGATTAATCGCATCCAAGATAAAAGTTTTTGTTTACATAATATATGTGTGTGTACTGTGTATATTTATTATGTATGTATATATATATATATATACACACACATACAGTATCTATTTTGAAAATATTTGCATGTATATACATTTATATTCTTATATTATATATAAATATATTTAATATATAAACAACATATTTTTCTTAAATATAAACATGCATGTGTTTGTATTTATATATACATAATACATATGCATAGTATACACACATATATTGTGTAAACAAAAACTTTTAATTTGGATGTGATTAATCGCGATTAAT